ATGTCCAGTGCCCACCCCCCAGGGGCTGAAAAGTTCCTCAGGTGAATCGAATGTGCAGCCAATGTGGAAAGCCCCGATTAGATCATGCAGGATCCTATGTCAAGCTAAAGAGATGGAAGTCTGTGCTGAGAGCAACGGGGAGTCTCTGAGGGTTTCATGGAAGAAAGGGACATAATTGGATTTTCCTTCTTCGGCAAGATTACTCTAGCTGCCCAGTGGAGATAGGAATGTGATGGACGGGCTGGCCTTCGAGATATGGTTAAGAAGTCCGCTGTAGGGATCAAGAGAGGCACAGAGCCGTGGTGTCCACGGCGATGGCAAGAAGTAGACCCATCTGAGGTCCTAGTGGTGACAGACCGGGGTGGGAGAGGAAGAGGTGGGAGGACCAGGATGAAGCCCAGAGGGCTGAGGGCAGAGCTGGTCAGAGAAGGAAGAGAAAACCCAAAAGCACGTGCCATCCAGAAAGTTACGGATGTGACTACTGGTAGAAAGGTGCATTCAAGCATGTCAAATCCTACTGAGATGTAGCCACAAGTCGCTGGTGACCTTGACAATGAACATGAATGGAAACTTAGGGTGGCGCGAAAGGGATCATGAGAGCAGGCGCCACCCAACAGGGGCAACAACTATTCTTTATCTTCTTCACATTGTAGCCAAAATGTGTTGATTTATTCATTCCCTAAATATTTATGAAGCACCTAATGTGCTGGGCACTGTGTTCAGAGCTGCGGATAAGACAGCAAGTCCTTGAGGCCCTTGCTCGCCAGCAGGAGACAGATACTCTCACTCATATCACAGGCTGTGTCATGGAGATGCATGTCAGCGGCTTTGCAACACGCGGGGCCCATTCTGCCAGGGAGTGGGGAGGGGCGGGTAGGAAAGTTCCTAACAAGCAGGGGAGAGGGACGTGAGTTCTGCCCTGGGGTTGTCACTGGGGCAGTCCACTGAAGAAGTTCAGATCTCAGCCAGCAGGGGAAGAATGGCACTCCAGGACCTGCTGGTGGTTTGGTGGGACCCTGGGACTGGCTTTGGCCAATGAGTGGTGGGTAGCGGTGAGCATGTCCCTTCGAGGCCAGCGTGCACATTCCCTTGCCAGTGCCAGTGTCAGATCCTCCAGAGGTCTCCCTCTGGCATGGCGAGTGGCCAGGTTTCAGACTGCGGCTGCTCCCAGATACCTGAGTAGCTGCCCCCAAGACAGCATACAGGGGAAGAAAAACTGTTTTCCCGTTATCCATCTTAGGTTCCTTGGCTGGAGGTCTATAAATTAGATCAATGAAAGACAGATTAACAAGAGAAAGACAAACAGAAATTTATGAACATGTGCATCTTGCGTACGTACACACCGGAGCCCTCAATAATGAGTGACTCAAAGGGGTGATTAGAACTTCGGCTTGTATCGCATCTGAACAAAAGAACAATACATTTTTAGTGAAGGGACAAGACAAAGGAAAAAAGACTTTGAGCTTTTAGGGGTGGCAAATTGTGGGAAGGCAAATATATGGGGACCTACTGGTAGATAAGGGCTAGTTTTAGCAAAATTTGTTAGATCCCTCTGGTGCTGTCTCTGGGCTGATAAGGATCTAGAGCTGTCACCCGTGATTAACGTCTGTCCTTCCTGGTGGGGGGTGGGTGGGGGGAACACCTTTACAAATTTATGTCCCCATAAATAGGAGAAGAGCAGAGGGTTTTCCATGTATCTGCTTCTTCCCATTGCCTTCAGCTCAAAATAATCCTTATGCCAAAGTGGCATATTTGGGGGTTGAGTATTTTGCCACCCGGAAGCAAACTTTTTGTGGTTTGTTATTGTCACCATGGCATAACCTAGCCCAGTGGTTCTCAAAGTGGGGTCCCTGGACCAGCAGCCTGAGTTTCACCTGGGAACTTGCTGGAAATACAAATTATTGGGCACCACCTCAAACTTACTGAACCTCACTCCCTGGGGTGGGGCTCAGACCTGTGAGTTTTAATACACCTTCCAGGAGATTCTGAGGCATGCTCAGGATTGAGAACCACTGCCCTAGCTGGTGCTGACTGCCTCCAGCCATCTGAAAGGCAGAGCAAGAGGAATTAGAATTTATAGAGAAGGTCATTCTAGTAAACTTGAAAAAACCAAGTAAGAAGAATTAAATGGTGAGGTTCTTCCTGTCACAGGAAAAAAAATTTTTTTTAAAGATTTTATTTTATTTATTTGAGAGAGAGAGAGAATGAGAGATAGAAAGCACGAGAGGGAAGAGAGTCAGAGGGAGGAGCAGACTCCCTGCTGAGCAGGAAGCCCAATGTGGGACTCGATCCCGGGACTCCAGGATCATGACCTGAGCCGAAGGCAGTCGCTTAACCAACTGA